AGGAATATGCAAAATAATCATGTATTTAAATTAACAACATATTATTCCAACATATAAACTAACAACATCAATTCAATTAACTAACTCTGACCAATTCATTTCCCTAATTGTCCATCAAATTCCATACAAATTTCCCTAATTTTCACGAAAATATACATACAAATTAAAGAAAAAAAAAATATTATTCAGAATCAAAACTACTACAAGCTATTATGATGAAATAGAAAGAATATTTAAAAATTAGGAAAAAATCCAAAAAAGTTTAAAGAATTTACTTAAAAATAGTGGAAACCGCTAAAATTGAAAATCCAACAAATTCTGGCAAACTCCAGCAAACTTTGGCCCAATGGAGGTCGGCGGTGGTTGGGTAATGTGCGTGGAGATGACCGGAGTGTAGTTTGGGGGGGGGGGGGGAAGAGGGGGCGGGAGGGGAATGCAATAGAGAGTGAGAGCGATAGGGAGAGAGAGAGAGAGAGAGAGATCAGGAGTGAGAAGGGGGTATATCTCGGGTGAGTAGGTCCCGTAGGGAGCAACTAAAGACTTCATGGGATTCTTAATCTCGTGAAGTCGTAAGGAATCCTATGAAGCTGCAGGGATGAAATCACAGAGGATGCGATCGCTGTGTTTTTACCTTACGACTTCACGGTATTGGGAATCCCATGAAGATTTCTATTGTAACGAACTTCACAGGATTCTCAATTCCTTGAAGCTTAGTGTGGGTTGAAACTTCATGGGATTAGGAATCCTGTGAAGTTTAATTATCCACTTCACGTGATTCTCAATCCCATGAAATTCGTGGTAAAATATTTCGCACAATCACAGTTTCAGCCCACGTTGCTGATGTGGCTAAAACTAGATCGAATTTGCTAAATATTTACCAACTAGGTCAAAAATGATGAGTAAATTTTGGAAATGGTCTATTTTAAAATTTTGTCCTAAATTATACTATTTGCCTTCACATGAGAGAGGTTAAAGCTTAATCTTGGAAGGTTAGTGAAGGGTCAAACTCTTTTAACCCCTCCTCAATCCCTTCCCAAACATAGCCTTGATGTTTTGATTTTTATTCATTTTAAATTGTACAATAAACTTTATGAAAAACAATTTGTTTATAAATGACTAATATGCTTGGGCAGCTAGCACATCTATCATACTCCTTTTAAAAGTACGAGTTCAGGAAAATCTTTCTATGGTCAGTATTACCCTTAGCTTTTTTTGAATATTACATTGTTATCCTAATCTATTCTAATTTTAATCATATCTTATCTAATTCCACGTTAGTACCTTAAGTTATTTTGAATATTTCACTTAAATCTTAATCTATCCAAATACTAATTATATCTTATATTAACTCCATATGAACTACCTATAACTCAAAAATATAGAAAAAATAAGATTAAGAAATTATACGTAGATAACATATTATAATACATGAAGTATTATAAAAAAACCCAAACGTTTTAAAAATTGCATGCAATAGCCTTAAAAGTTTAAAATTATACAAAACACTTTGACTTTTTAAAACTTAAAAACAAACATGCATGATATCTAAAAATTTAAAACTTGTAATTAACACCCTCAATATTTTAAAAATTATAGAAACAACCTCAAAAGTTTAAAGGCTAAATTACATTTTATATACCCTATGTGTTTCTCTCTTGAAGAAGTTATATACCGTAAGTTACAAAATATAGCAAAAAATACCCTAAGTTGGCAAAAATTTGCAAGTTGATACATTCTGTTAACCAGCTGTGAGAATATTCTTTAGAATATTCCCACGTGCTGGACCTATGACCAACTTGAATACTTCTTACCCTCATTTATTGTATTATTTACTGTATTACCTACCCCCTCCCCCCCCACCCCTCCCACCCGCACATTAGATTATTTTCATCGTCATCATCTTCTTTTCGTGGCCTCCAACTTCTTCTTCCTCTTTAATATGTGTAACAATAGAAAATAAGAGCTTTCATTATGTTGGGGGGTTAATTCTTAAGGAGGGGTATTATTATCCTTTCATGTATTTTTTAACACTATTAGCTAAATTTAAACAGTTACTAACTCAGGTATTTTTTTGCTATGTTTTGTAACTTAGGGTATATAACTACTACAAGAGCAAAACAATAGGGTATATAAGTGTTGTAACTTAGGGTATATAACTACTACAAGAGCAAAACAATAGGGTATATAAGTGCCATTTAGCCATGTTTAAATTACAAAAAACATTCTAAAATTCAGAGACATTTAGCCATGTTTAAATTACAAAAAACATTCTAAAATTCAGAGATTTTAAAACTTAGAAACAACATAAATGGATTTTAGGGATTAACATTAGGCACATAGAAATTTTAAAATTAGTAAAAAAAACCTCAAAGGTACAAAAATTACAAAAACTCTCTCAAAAGTAAAAAATTATTAAAAAAACTAAAATTTTAAAACTTATAAACTGGTACACATTAAATTTAGAAATTATCAGGAGATCGCTAAAATTTTAAATTTTTTAAAAACAACCCAAAATTTTAGTAATTATAAAAATACCTTCAAATTTTTAGAGTTATGAGAAATATTCTAACATTTAAAAACTTATCACCAATACATGAAACATAAAAATTATAAACGCTCAATTTAAAATTTAAAATTTTCATAAAATACGATCAAAGTTTAAAAATTGCAGAACACACCTTAAAAGTTTAAATCACAAAAATGCTAAAATTTGGCAAAGAAAAGAGAAAATGTTTGATATTATTACATTAAGATATAATAGGTTAGCATTAATTGATTATAATGTATAAACATTTATCTCTAATGTTGATAATATTTATTTATAAAGTAAAAAAAATACAAGGAGTTATGTATGAAGAAACTATCAGAAAGTTTAGAGATATCATTTAAAAGAACTAAGTTGTTTTCATTTCAAATGGAGAAGTGAAGGAAATAAACTCAAAATTTAGAAACATTCATGAATCACCTGAATTGACATTGATAAAAAGCATATCGAGCAAAGAAACACTAACCGAGTTCTCTTTGAAGAACATATCGAACAATTATGTCGTAATTAAAAAAACATTATTAATGAAAAGTACAAGAAAAATTAGTAAGTACTTATAAATTTTCATACTTTATTCTAAAAATACTGAAGGAATTATAAACTTAATATAAAATTTCAAATAAATAATATTACAACAGAAACTAATGTGAAGCCATTGATCAACTACATTGCGAGATATAATAAACTAGATAAGATGAGAAAAATCACTATAATGGACAAAAAATATGCACATGATACTTAGTTACCATAGTGTAAGTAAAAAAAATTAAAATTAAAATTTTTCTTTTTTCTATATAGTGGCACGACTATACAAGTATCCTTATTTGGGGATATGACTACTAACGAAAGATCAATTTTTAAGAACACGATCAAAGATAAGTATGTAATAGTACTATCAGATTTCAAGATCTTTAAATATGAAGATAATATATTTTACAACTAAAATTCTTATTAAATGTCACTAAATATAAAATTCATTTTATACCTGTCTCAAAATTGTATGAAAGATATGCATGTCATCGTAAATTGTGTTAATAATATATTAACTTATTAAAGAAATAAGAGATAGATAAGCAAACCAAGTAATTATCCATATAACATGATAAAGAAAAAATATTACACTTTAAAGCTAATATGCAGGGCTCATTCAGAACAAGCTGCTAAAATAAAAGCATCTCCATCAAGGCTCTTTATAAATACAACACAAATTTAAATTATTTAATATTTTTAAAAATAGCTTAATTTTTTGAGTAAAATCAGGAATCTTTAGAAGTGATTTTTATGAACTCTTTCAATTTTTTATATGGTTATGTGGATGCTTTTATCATATAAAAGTGTAATAGAGTTAGTATTAAACTTTATTTTATGATTTTTTTTCTAAAGTCTATCAGTGATTAGCAACAAAATTTATATTATCTTTAGTTTCATTCTAGCCCACTTATTATTAATCATCTTGTCTTATTGGCTTTAATTATTCATCCTTCTTATATAACATTATCTTTTCAAGTGTTTTTTTACTTTTACAATATTATACCTTCTTAAGTCAAGCTTGTTTCATGCCGATCTAAATAACGTGAAAATTCAAATTAGCTTTAGATTATAGTTATTTCTTGTCAATTCAATTATTACATAAAAATTTAAATTTGGTGTAGCCCATTCAAACAAACATTAAAAATAATAATCACAATAGTAAAGTTTGAAAACATAAGTGAGAAAAACAATCAAAGTAGAACTGAGAAATAAATTTTAGTAAAGAAATAAGTCAAAAATACTTAATCATAATATTTAATCACGTGCATTGCATATGCATAAATCCTAGTATTAGAAATGGCTTAGATCCCCTATAATGTCAGTTATAAAGAATGCCTACAATCAGTAACACCGGCTAATACCATTGGTTTGTTTTAGCGCACCCACAATAAAAAAAGTTTTTAATATAATATAGATTAAAAAATATAATTCATGTCCACCGAGCATAGAGATATTACTGGTGGAGTAGGAGTTTCTTTAAAACCAAGGATGAAGAGCAGCCTTAGGCATTTGAAAATTACCTTGACATAAAGAGTTAATTGCAAACAGGTCCCCTTTAGCATTGTTGCGACTAGATCCTCTATAGTTCTATTTGCGCAAATAGACCTTCCGAGTGATTTTATTTACTCTTAAACAAAAGATTTTGAGAAGGCAGATAGACTCCTTATATGTTCACTTGTGAGAATAACTCCCAAATTACCAAAAAAGTAGCTAAGGAGGTGTATCCTTACTTGGATCGATACTACATAGTGTCTATCCGCACAAATAAAACTACAAAAGTGACCATTTACAATTTGGCGATGTCTACCCGCACAAATAAAACTACAAATGTGGCCATTTATACGAGCAGGGTTCTAGACGCAATTAACCCTTAAATAAACCTCGTCCACGCGCATCTTAAAATTTATTTGTCAAGGATCAACAGGCTCTGTTCTTGGGCCCTCGTTCTCAAGGCATTTTATCAAACCCTTTTCCCGCTCTCTTTTCTTCGTCGTCGCACATTTTCTCCCCAGCCTCTGTGAGAAAATGGCGATGGAAAGGGATCAAGCGTCAGAGAAATCCTCATCTCTCTCCCTCTTCTTTCTCATTCTTTCCGTTCTCTTCCTCGGATCTTCGTCTCGTCTTCTCACGTTCCCAGGTATCACAAGTTCTCCTTCAGCGAGTTAGGGTTTTTAATTTTATTTTTTTTGGGGGGAAATAGTTAGGTTTTTTTTTATTGAATTGACTTATTTTTAATCTCCGGGCACGAACAAGATCGTATTTATTATCTTCTTGGCTGCTTATTCTCGATTTCTAGGGCTAATTGTATGTTTTTTCCCCATGTAAGTTTATCTGACATTTTCTTGTTCTAGGGTTTGTTAAGTTCGTTTTCTAGTGAGTCTGGTTATAAATGCTCGACATCAACTGTTTTTATTATGATTTTGTGATTTCGTGTTTTTATTTCTATTAACTTGAGGAGATATACTGACAACCGTTTGTTGTGAATTTTGATTTGTTCGTGTGAATCTTGTGCTAGAGTGGCGTTACTATGAGCCAATTAGTGATTTTTTTTATTGGAGTGGTGAAATCCTAGTTTGCGGGAAGAAGTTAAAGGGACTTATAATCTTATATCATTGCGTAGGAGGAGGCATTATAGCGGTAGGCTCTAGATGCAAATATCTGTTCATGAATAGATCAGTAAACAGTGGGATGGAGGTTCTTGGTGCTTACTATCTGTATATTCTCTGCTACATGATATTAACTGAACAACCAAGGGCTTGTCGATGAATGAATCTCCCACCTAAGTTCACTTTCAAGAGATGCTGATGCATCCATGATTTTTCTCATTTTTCATGGCCAACACAGGAAAAATTTTGATTTACATCTTCTGATCTTTTCTCATTGACATTATTATGTCAGCTATGAGTATAAAACGACAAAAAAAAAAAAAAAAAAAAAAAAAAATCCAAGGA